TAAAGCCTCATCTCCCACAGTTTCTTCACACCCACTCAGTGTTTCTTCCAGCCCAGCAGACCCACATGTAATGTCCTAAATGCACCATATTACGCCTTGCTTTTTTCTTCCTACAGGTCTTGGCTCTTTCATTTCAGCAGGCAATCTTCAAAACTGAACGCACATCGACCACCCCTCTTTGAAGCATTCCTTGATTCACACCTCCCTCCTGAGTTTGCTTCTTCCTGTGCTCCTTATCGCACTCAATGGCTGTATTTATTATTGCATTTATGACAATTTATGCACTTGAGAGTCTGCCCCCCTCACTGGAAAATAAATAGATACTCCGTAATTGTTGAGTAACTGAGAGTTGAAGAAACCAGGGTGAAAAGGACTGGAAACAGGCAAGGGTCCCTTCATTAAACTTTTGTCACCTACTCCGTCTGAGCATGCTGCTTCTGCCAGGTTCCTGACTGATTATCTCTGAGGGGCAAAGGAGGGTAAAATCAATATTCTAAAGTTTGGGAAAAAGAATCTCCAATACATTCATTACTCTAATACAACTACTATTAATTCCAGCCAATTTCTCGGTCAGTTCTTCTAGACTTGTTTATCATTGCATCATAAATATTTCATGTTACTACATAGTCTTTGTATCAATCATTTGGAGACTGTCCTTAGGACAGATTCCCAGAAGTGGGGGTGTTGGGTCAAAAAGTAGTACATTCTTATGGCTCTTGCAACAGATTGCCAAGTTGCTTTTTGAAAACTTGGGTCCATTACTGTCAGCTCCAGAGCCTCAGTCCTAGGAGAAAGGAATGTTTTAGGTTGAGGGGTGAGTGCCTGACAGGTTTGCTGCTTCCACTGGTCCATTCATGCAGCAAAACGTGCCTGTGGAGCAACTAATACGTGCATGATGCTGTTGGCCAAGTAGTAACTACACATGCACTGCATGTGCATAGCACTTTGTGCCTCCCCGTTAGAGAGCAGTGGGTCCCGTTGTGGATAAAAAGTGCACCCTCAGCAATTCTCTGGAAATAGAAATCACCTCTAAACTAAGGCGTATGGGCTGCTAGACTGCTCTTGGGGCTACAGCCAAAGACAGGCATGGCTGGGTGTCATCAGGACTGCAAATGGAGAGAATCTGCTACAAGTAGCTCTTGAGACCTGTCCCTTCTTATCAGATTCTATAAGACATAAAGTCCCTGGAGAATGGATTTGTAATTGCCTGGGCCTTGGGCAGACTCAGCTTCTACCGCAGGCCCATCATTTGTAACAACTGTGGTCAAGTCCAGGACGTCTCCGGATGCTTCCGGGGTAGGGCCTGCCTGCTGAGAAAACTTTTTGCCTTGTAGGTCAAAGACCAGAGTGGGAGGAATTGATCTGTAGTTCTAACCATTGCAACCCAGGGCCTAGTGCTCTCTGGCTGCTCCAAGCTCCAAAATTGCCTTTCTTTTCCCTGACAAAGTGATTTCCTGAGTGCAGCTGAGCTGACCTCAGCCAGGGAGAGCTAGAGACACAGACCCCAGGGAATGGGAAGGGAAGTGGAAGCTCCTCTTTTCTCTCTACCAGCAGCCTGCTTCACTGTCACTTCGACTGCACCTAGGTATGTGTTTTGGGCCCAAACTAGAGAAGTTGTACAAAGAATAACAAGAGAAAAGCAATCTAATTAAATACCTTATCAGCAAGGAGTAAGTATAATTACTGATTAATGAAACAAACATCTCTTTGGATAGGGATGTCCAGCCTGCTGCTCACAGGCTGCATGTGGCTCAGGATGGCTGTGATTGCAGCCCAACACAAAATTGTAAAGTTACTTAAAGCATTCTGAGATTTTTTTTTGCGATTAAGTGTCACAATGTATTTAATGTGTGGCCCAAGACAACTCTCTTCTTCCAGGGCAGCCCAGAGACGCCAAAATGCTGGACACCCTTGTTAGGGTTTCTTATATATGTCCCACCCCTTTGCTAAACCCTCTGAGGTTGCAGAGTGCCTGTTTTTCAGAAGTTCATAGCTTAAGGGAGAGAACAGAGGCCACGGGGAAACTGGGATACACAAGGAGGGCTCCAGAAATTGAGGAATTGGATTGGAGAGGTGGGATGATAACTGAATGTAGCAGAAGATGTGATTCAAGGTACGCATCTTTACTGGCTGTGAGATCTTGGGCAAGTCACATAATCTTTGACATTGATATAAAGATTAAATGAGATAATATCTATGGTTGAGGAACAGTGCCAGGAAAAGGGAGGTTGGTCTCTCTCTCTCTCACACACACAACTCACACATACTCTCTCTCTCTCTCAATCTGGGTAAAGTGACCAGCCTGGCTGTGGGGTGGGGTCCATGGGTGAGGAGCCAGGGCAGGCCTGTCTTCCCCACACTCCCCCAGGTTTCTCACTCATCACGCTTTGGGCTAGTTTTTGGCACCTGAGCCAGGTAGAGTCAATGACCCTGAGATATGAAGGGGCCCCGGCAGTCCCTACCGTCACCCACTAAGTTTAGGGGCCAAGTCTGGCAATGTATGCCCCTTCCCCACTGACAGCATTAGGTCAATAGTTTATGTCAAGTCTCCAGTGCCAGAGGCTACAACCAGAGATCAGAGAGTGCCCTGCACCTTGAGGGTGGGGTAAGAAGAGAGGCTAAGAATCATAGCAGAATCTCCCCACTTATCCATTGCAAAGGCTGTGACGCAATCCTTCTGGGTGGTGGCAGACGGCTCAGGTCGAGGACAGGTCATCCTGGCCTCCAGCAGAACACACTCTGCCCAGCCTCTTTTCCTCCCTGTCAGCTCCATCAGAGCTGTTTTCTAGACCTTCTGTCTGGGTGGTCCCTCCCACACCCCTCTCCCCGCTCCTCAAACACATTTAACTATTTAGAAAGCAGCATAAGAAGGCCTGGCTTATGTTCCTCCTTAGGGGCAGGGGTGGCTATGGAGAGAGAAAGTATGCTCTCTGCAATTCTCTGGAACAGAAACAGCTCCTGAACTAGGCCAAGTACTGCTCTCGGGGCTCCATTCAGGCCCTGGACTGCTCTCGGGGCTCCAGCTACAGACGATTCCCTCTCACTCCTCTGTGGGAGGGAGTGAGACAGGAAGAGTGTTGTGGTGAAGGACTGAGAAGTTTAGCCTCTGGCCTTGGGAAAATGCTTGGAGGGCAACCTTGGCAGTCAGTTCCCTTAGAACCTCAGGGAGCTCTTGTCAGGAGGTCGGGGTGAGGTGGTGGTGGAGGAGAAATTCCTAGAGTGGTAGCCATCAAATTCTGTCTGACCTGGTGAGCTCCCAGGACCCTGTTCCTCCACACCTCCCCAGAGTCCCCCTGATCTGTCACTGAAGGCCCCCTTCTTCCTCTCTGCCACCTCCACCTCCATCGGAGCGTCACGGATAAGGGGCTGGGCAGATCCCATCAATACTTTTCCTGTCTGGCCCTGCTGGCTTCTGTCCCACAGAGAGGTAGCCAGCCTGTGAATATTCAGTTGTGCACTCTATTTCAGACATACCCAAACCCTCTGTAGCTGCTGCCAAAAGAAAACAAAAACTGTCCCTGCCTTCTGGCAGACAAATAGAGCAAAAAGAAGAGAAATCAAAGCATCTCGGGCAACCAGCCAGGCCTGCAATTATTAGAGACAATAGCAGCAGTGTCCTGAGCTGGGGGCTGCTCTCAGCTGGGACTCAAACTCAGCAAGGCCTTCCTGGGGGAATCTTGCCTTGTCTGTCTCCCCCAGTTCTCGTCTGTTTCCTGGTGAAGGGGCTGCTTATAGGCTTGTGCAAAGGAAGGAAGAGGTTTTTCCTCTACTTACTGTAAGGGGTTCTAAGGGCTCAGTGGGAAAGATCAAGAAGAGGTATGGGAAACCCCTGAGACAGTTTAACCAATCCCTTCTCCTCCCTCAAACCTACCTAACTCCATCCCCTTTCTGTGGTCAAGGAGCAGTCTTCTGGTCTCTTGGGCTACCCAGACCTCAAGGGCAAGAAAACTCTGGGAGCAAGGTGACAAGACCTGAGAATAGAAAGGGCCTTTGAAAGTTACCCAGTCCAGCCCTGGCAGAGTGGCTCAGTTGGTTGGACCGTTGACCCGATATGCCAAGGTTGTGGGTTCAATCCCTGGTCAGGGCACATACAAGAAGCAACCAATGAATACATAAATAAGTGGAACAACAACAAATTGGTATTACTCTCTCTCCCGGGTTCAGTCCAACTATCCCGTCCACAGATGGGGGAAACTCGGGGCAGAGGAGAGACGGTGACCTGGCCAAAGCCAAACCGCACTGCAAGGGCAGGTCTTCTTCCATCCAGGCCAGGACTGCCTGCAGCCTCATCTGGACCCCACAGACTTAATTTCAGTGCCTTGGGTACCACCCTAGCTCTTCATTCCCACCTCCACTGCAGTCCTATTCAACCAGTTCTGCTGGGCCATCTCAGCTCCTGTCTGATCAGAACAAACTTTCAGGGACCTTGTTCTGACCAGTGGAAGAAGGTGGAGCTTTAGAGCTCCCGCGACGGCAGGTGGAGGTGGGCGGCCCCCGGGGAAGGCGTGCTCCCCTGCTCACTCAGTCTCTCGCTCATTCAGTGAGAGCAGCACTGAGATGCAGGCGAGATCGCTCAAATGAACTTGAGACTTCAGATTTCTGAAGTAATGTAGAAACCAGTACTTTTCTAATTGCTGCCACCCACAGTGAGCACATCAAGAGAAACCTTCACTTTGTTAGCTCTGGGTGGTGAAACCTCACCCCAGGAAGCACTTTCATCTTCCACCGAACTCCTACAGGTTGTACAAGCAGTGCAGGGACGGCAGGAGCAGAGTGCACATGTGTTCGGGAGTGGGGGGTAAAGGGAAGGTGGATAGGACTCTAGAAGAGCGGTGAGTATGGAAATCCCATTTCTCAATGACCTGAGCAGGAGAGTCTGTATAATTAAGGCATAAAGAAAGAAATACAGCTGGAGAAGAGTCAGAAAGAACTGCAAACCATGATGGAAGTTCCAGGCTGAACAGACCACGCTAAGAGGAGGTGGGAAGGGGTCTGGCTTCTCAGATCATCGCTTTCTTTTATTGCTCTTGCTCCACTAAAGCCGGTGAGGATATACTTGATGGCCAGGGAAGGGCTGCCTTCTGCTTGCTTTAAGAGTCTCCGAGGGGCAGTAGTTGAACCACAGAAAGCGGCTACAGACTGGGAGGGTGGGGGAGGATGGCAGGAGTTAGAGGGTGAGGCTGGGGTGGGGTGATGGCAGGGGCCGGGGATCAGTGTGGCAGGTATAGAGGCAGAGCATTAAGTCCCAGGCTGAGGCTCAGGGCCAGGCTGCCCCAAACCGGTAGCAGCACAGGGAGCATGACATGCAGAGGTGGCACTGCCAGTGGTAGGCTTATGGGCCAGGGACTGAAGTACTTTCAGATCCTTCCAGGTGGGATATGCTTTTATGGACTAGGGCTAGACCAGCCAGGCTGAAAGTTGCCCTATGAGGAGCTTTACCATTGGACAGCCGCTGCCCGCGCCCAGTAACTTCGGTACACGGGAGGTAGGCCACTGCGTCCTAGTTTGTCCCCCACATTGGATCTAGATGGTGTTACCACGTGACTGATGGACACACAGTACGTCTCCCTGGAGGCCCCCTGACATGGGGTGTGGCACTACTCCGTAGTCTCCAGCATGCCTTTGGGAGCCCTTCTTTATTGGGAAATAAATACAGAGTCCAACAGATGGGCCAGCCGACACCTGTGGTTCTGGGGGCCAAGAGGAAGGCGTCTGACTTGCTCAGAACTCAGATTTCCATGAGCTGGTCATTTCCCACGATCACCTCATTCACTCGTTTGGCTATAAAAGAAAAGGAAAAGGTCATTTGAAAACTGTCAGCAAAAGATGTCATTTCAAACCCAATTACTTCTAATCCTTTGTTTATAAACATTTATTCCTCTCCTGGGTGGCTCTGCTCTTGAGAAGCTCTTGGCAACACAGCTTGCCAAAGGGAGTACAGGAGAGACAGTATCTTCCGCACGGCTGGGGGGACTGACTCTGTACACCTGGCTTTTGGGGAGATTTCACACAGGCGGGGAACCGGAGCTGGGTCTTAAATGATGAGTAGGGTTTTTTCAGGCAGCGTATCAAAGGGAAGGCATTCTGGGCTATTAGAACAACACGAGCGCCGTGGCTGGGCCGCTCAATTGGTAGAACATCGGCCCAATGCCAAGGCTGCGGGTTGGATCCCCCGGGTCAGGGCGCACATGAGAAGCAATCAATGAATGCCTGAGTGGAACAACAAATCGGTGTTTCTCTCTCTCTCTCTAAAGTCAATAACAATAATAAAAAAAGAACATGAGCAAAAACATAAAGATGTATGAAAGGGCAACATGAAATACTGTGCTGTGGCTTGGGGATAGGAAATGAGGGAAAAGAGCGAGGACAAATGAGACTAAGTGGTTACACAAAGACATCCGAAGGGAAAAGGGAGATGCCTCACACGTAACATGGAAATAATAGTGCTGACTGCACAGGGTTGTGTGAGGGTTCAACGAGTTAAAGAATCACTGGGTGCTCGATGCATAGGGGCTGCTATTATTTTTGTCAAGTTCAAACTCACATGACCCTCCGTGACCTGGCTCTTGTCCCCCTCCTCTTTAGCTCCACCTTCCACCATTCTCCATTTGCACCTAAAGCCATGCTGTTTTATAGCTCTAGACCGCAGCACATGCGGCTCCACCATGCCTTTCTCCCCCAGCACAATCTACCCTAAATGCCCTAATCGAGCACCTCCACTATGGGACGTCTTCCCTTTTGAACTGTGTTCTGCTTTGTGAAAACATACTGCCTAATACACACCTCTGTCTCTACATCATTATATCACTCTCTCCTACTTCAGTGAGGCTCTTGAGGGCAGGGGCAGTGCATTTATGGTTGCACCCCAGTGTTCAGCACAGCCACCGGCACACGAAAGATCTCAGAGACTCGGGGTGACGGTTATTATATAAGTAGAGAGCTACAGCTGACAGGAGGTGGAAGTTGGTGGAGTAGAGAAGTTCAGGAAATTATGAAGCAGAAGGGTTGGATGTTTTACTAATGAATGTATTTAAGTTGTCTGCAATGTTTGGAAAAGAAAGAGGGAGGGAAGAGGAATGCTGTGAACCCTCGATATATTTAAAGGAATGCCCTGGGAGCTGACTAGTGATGTGATGAAAGGTGAGAAGAGGGTTAGCTTTCAAGGAACAAGACCTACAGAAAGGAGGCAGGGAACCAATGGAAAGGGACAGGGGAAGCAGGAGTGTCAGGTCTATTTCTTGTCTACAGATATGGGGCAGGTGCAAGAGAGGAGTGTTTCAGGATTCTGTTGGGTTGACCAGCCGGCTGAAATGTCTTCTTCCTGGAGCAGCTTCCCACGGCCTCTAGAGGTCTAGTACTTTTCTTGCCACACTTGGGGGCTTGAGGGTGACCTGAATGGGTGGGGCAGATGTTTTGGCATTCCTGAGGCTCTACCTCAGTCTCAGAAGGCTCTGCTGCAGCAAAATGAACACCTGTGGTGACAGGATCCAGTCTGACATTGAGAGGTGTTTGGGTGGGCTCATACGGCCCACAGCCGGAGCCTCCTTCTGCTCTGTCACCAGAAAGGGGGCTTCTCACTGAATCTTTGGAGACCTTGAGATTTCAGACATGTCTTCTGTTCTGCTCACTTTTCTAGTTTTGCTTTTTTGCTACATCTCCCTTGTACCCTATATTCCAGATTTTCCAAATGATTTCCAGTTTCCAACACATTAGGTACTTGCTTACTTACATGGTTCCCCTTTGCTTGAGAGATTTTTCCCTTTTGTATATTCGGCAAATAGCCAAAAATTTCAAGATTTACCCTTAATTTCTTCCATTAAGATTGTGTTCTTGACCCTTGTGCCAAGAACTGACCAATTTTTATTTTATGCTCTAAACCCCGATACCTATGATATCTGTGAGACTTTACTTTTTTCTTTACTCATCTGTCTCTCTAAACAGGTTGTGAGCAGCTGGACAGCAAGAGGGACGCCTTACTCACTTTTATACATGCCCTACTAGAGCCTAGAATATGGTAGGCAGTAACTCTTTGTTGAATGTTTGGGTGTTTTGGGGGTTAAGTGAGAGCACAGATACAGGGAAAGAAGCATATATAACAAAGAAGGCATCCAATCTCCTTCTTAAAGGGATTATAATGGACACATCTCGTGCATTAGGGCAACGGTGCCTGGGGATCCAGAATCCGCAGGCTTATTTCTCTCACTTTCTCCATGGGAAGAGAAAGCTAGGTCTACGTCTTTCACGTTTGCTGTATGGCACCTCAGCAGAGAGAGGCAATCTCATGTAAGGAGAAAGAGATAGGAAAGAGAGGAAGAAAAAGTGACAAGGCAGGAGAGGAAAGAGCTTCTGAGTCATCAAGACTTGAGTTCGAATTAGACTTTGAGCAAACTATTCCACGCCTTTGAGCTTTAATTTCTTCACAAAGTTGTGGGGGTTCAGTAAAATAAGTGCTGTAAAGAGCGCAGTGTGGTGGCTGGATAAGTACTCAACAGAGATTACAGCAAGGGCTGGCGCTGGCCTGTGTCCTCTTGCCCGGGGAAGTGCTCCTTTTCACGCTTCAGGGCCATCTCCTTCCTCTCTGGGGAGAGGAATGGGGAGGAGGCCCGGACAGCTCAGGCTGCCAAATCCCCTCGGGCTGCGCTGGGCTGGAGCGTGACTGTCAGTCAGGCTCCACCCTTGAGATAAGACTGACCAGAAAAGAACAAAGGAAATACTTTTCTGGTTAGCTTCCCAGGGCACCTCCAAAAGCTCTACTTTATCTTTTTCCCTATGAAGCCATGAGTCAGCCTCATCCTGTCCTCTCTAGACCCTGACATTTGCTCTTTCTTCATCCAGTCTCTTCTTAGTCTCCAGGGACACTGGGCTGTTCTGAAGACAGTACCAGTTCCAACTATGGTTCTTCTTGACCCTCAGAGCTCCAGACCAGAAGGGCCAATGCGGTGCCCGGCTGGGGCAGATGATGCTTTCCTGTGCTCTGCCAGGTTCCAAAAACACCCGAGCCTTCACTGGCCTGCCCTCCCTACTCTTCTCTGCCCTCTGGTCTGCTGTTGGCCTGGGGATGGGAGAAAACTCACTATATCTGGTATATTGGAGGTAGATGTATTTTCATGAAGATTCAGTAAGGAGTGGGGGGAGTCTGGAGGGGAGTGACAAACAGTTCTAGTTCTGTGCCAGGGTTGGAAGAAGGCTCCAACAGACACGCTGGAAAAGTTCTGGGCTAGAATCAGGCTGGGAAAGATCTTAAAGGTGAGAGCACAAGGGAGGATGGTAAGTTGGGGAAAACACAACGGGACAGAAGGGAATGACAAGTCACACATGATAAGCTGCACTTTCGGGAAGCTGGGAAGGATTCCGGGCAGCCCGGGCTTGACCCACGCACCCATCAGGTCTACTTTCATGGCCAAAAGACTGACCCCTCTGGTGCCAGGAGGGAGATGCAAGTTCCCTTGCTGACAGTGATACGAGACTCAGATGAAGCGTCCAATTAGAGTCTCCCAGATATTGACTTTGTTGGCTGTGGCTTTTCTATTGGCTTGAGCAGGAGGTCAAATTCAGTTACCAGGGTTTTTGCCAGAGATCTCATTAACTGAGCCTGATGTGGTCGAGTGAGAAAAGCCAGAACTGTCAGAGGTGGCTGGTTCTGCTGGTAGAGTCAGAATATGGTAGAAAGGCCTACACTGGATTACGAGAGTCACATTTTTGGGATAAGAGACTGCTGTGGATACGGTGACTCTGTGGTATGCAAGTGACTGGACTTTGGAGAGGGACAGAATTGCTTCTGAGGATGAATGTTTTTTCCTGGAATCACTCTATGAGAGGAAGACTGACTGGGGACTGTGCCCTCTCTTTGCTAGTGAAGACCTGAGCTGCTTGATGTTTGTCTGGGTCATCCTTAGGAACTGGTTTTGAGTGCTACACCGATGACTAGGAGTTTGCTTTATCCACATGGCTCAGCCTCAGAGAAAAGTGATGGTGGGAACAGGTGACAGGCCAGAAGAGCTTGTAGCAGGAAGGTGCTGACTACTGCACTGGGTGCACGGGGCCCTCAGTACAGAGGACGGAGCCAGGAGTGTTGGGCTTCTGTAGTTCACTAGAGAACTTCCCAGGCCACCTCTCCTTCAGGAGGACCATTAAGGGGTCTTCCTGCTAAAAATAATGGGCACATAGTGTTCGAGCCAGAAAGCCCAGGAGCTACTTGAAGCCCAGCCCTGTGCTCCCTGGTGGGAGAGGCTGTGCCTCAAACCCTCAGTTTGAGGTGCTCTTGCAAAGTAAAAGGGAGCAGCGCCATTACTGTGTTGGAAATGGGGAAGAGAAGAAGCAGAAACTGAAATTCCAGGTTCCAGCAGGCAAGAAAGGAGGGACCTTTAGGGCGCTGGCAAATGGAGTTCACTCACTCAAATAAGCCTATGGAGTAAACGCTTTTAAAAACAACAAAAGGAAGCAGCTCCTGGCTCCAGGAGGGACGAAAGAAATAAGCAGTGGGGGATGTCTCTGCTTTTCGAGGGGCAGGAGATAGTTTACCAAGACAAAGAGGCAGGAAGGAGGTGGAAGAAACACTGTGTGGGGGTCACAAGCCCAAACAGAAGAGAACAAAGGACAGAGAAATACAATGAGGCAGGGAAGGCAAGGATAACAAAGCAGCTCCACAGACCAGCTGAACAGCTGCTTTTGAAACAGTGGGGACCCCTTCCAAGGCCTTCCATGGAGTCGGAGAAAGGGCTGGGGGGTTCTGAATCCTGTTTTTAAGAAACTACCAATAGGATCCAGCTACCCAAGAAACAAGTTTCTTTGCAGCCTCAGGGTAGGCCTTGGTGAGCTCATACGTTGAACAGGAGGAAAGAGCTAAGGCCTGAGGTTCCTTAAGATCAGAAAGAGCTTGGGCATGGAGGCCAAATACGTATTTTCCTATGGTCTTGGAAAGATGGACTAAAAGGAGAAACGGGGTATCACTGATCAAATTCTGCTGGGCAAGCCAGGAGTGGCTTCTTCCTTTGGTCTGCTTAAAGGATATTTGGCAATACTTGGGCTGAAGGCCCATTTTTGTCACCTACGAGCTCTGTACCTTGGGTAAATTTTAACTTTTCAAAGTCTGTTTCCACTTCACCAAATGGGTCAGTAATCAATCCCAGGTAGAGGGCTTCCACCAGAATCCAGTAAGACAGTGTACGTGAAAACATCTTAAAGCTGTAAGCAACAGTTGAAAGCCAACAGCATTCCAGGAGGACAGTGCCATCCATGCCTCCAGCGTCCCCGCCCTCTCACTGAGGCTCATACCCTCAGCTTGCACGTGACCACAGCAGAAAGTGCTCACAGCTGGTGCGTTGCTGCTGACCAACACTCCTGCTCAAGTGTTCTCAGGTAAGACGCTGGGCGGAGTCTGTCTGCCAGTAATTACACGAAAAATACCAGTCTTCCTTGAAGCTAGGGCATGAGCACATGACACTGGCTTGACCTATCAGGTGCTGCACCTCAAACCTTGGGTTGGGAACTGCTGATACAAAGAAGCAGGAAGCAGAGAGAATCCACTCTGGGGTTGCTGGTGGTTGGAGAAGTGCGAGCTGTTCAGTGTTTGGTGGGAATGGCAGCAGTGTCTTCACCAGAATGGCTTGGGGTAGAAATCCTGGCTGTAACTCCTTTTCTTTCTTTCTTTTTTAAGATTTTGTTTATTTATTTTTAGAGAGGGGGAAGGGAGAGAGAAAGAGAGAGAGGGGAACACAGATGTTCAAGAGCAACATTGATCAGTTGCCTCTCATGTGTCCCAACCAGGGACCTGGTCTGCAACCCAGGCATGCACCCTGACTGGGAGTTGAACCAGCAACCTTTAAGTTTGCAGGACAATGCTCAACACACTGAGTTACACCAGTCAGGCTATAATTTATTTTCTAAGCTTGATTCTGCAGCCATTATAGAGCTGTGAGCTAGCATCTTTTCAATGATGTCTTTTTCAGCTTAAATCAGAGTGAGGTTATGATGCTTGTAACAAAGAACCTTATTGGTAAACTGATGACACCCAGGAAAGGCCTTTCAGAAATGACAATTCTCACATGTAGAGGAAGAAAGCGCTTGGAATGTGAATAGAAAGGCAGCGAGGAGGAGGGTTGTACCCAGTCTCAAGAAGAGAAGTAAGAGAGAAGGCTGGTTTCAGGCCAGGGTCACATCTCCCTGGTTCAGTTATCAGTGTTGCATGTGGTTCTTTTATTGGCAGAAGTTTAGGAAAAAAGCAAGGAGAGATCTCATGATAATTGCAACTATCTCCTGGAGTCCTTTCTGCCCTGAATTTCCCCACACTACGCTTTATGGATCCAAATCATTCATTCATCTCATGCCCCCGCCCCTCCCCAGCATCTACTGTAAACCAGGACCTGCTCTGAGAGCTAGGGATACAAATTAGAATAAGTCAATCTTTGCCCTTGAAGACCTTAGTCTAGTAGGGAAGGCAGACTCATAGATTATTGCCATAACTTGTGAAAGTACTTTAATAAAGGTATGGACAACGTGCAGGGATGCAGAAGAGGAAGGAATGCTCAGTGTGGCTGCAGGGGGTCAGGGGACGAGTCAGGGAAGGCTCTGCAGAGAGGAGAACACTTGAGCAGAGTCTTCAAGAAAGGACTCCAGGGAGGGAAGGGGCACATGCACAGGCACGGAGAGGCACAACCGCTCAGTGTGTGCCAGGGACTCTAAGCCCGTTGGCGTGCTGCAGGAGTTGTGTGTGCTCCTCACCACATTTAACTGTGTTTAATTCTCCTAAAAATCAAGATTGGTATTATTGTCTCAATTTTTCTAGTTTTGAAAACCTGAGGCCTAGAGATTAAAAATTTAACCTCGTCCTGACTGGTGTGGCTGAGTTGGCTAGCTGTCGTCTGCAAAGTGAAAGGTCATGGGTTTGATTTCCAGTTAGGGAACATGCCTAGGTTGTGGGTTTGGTCCCAGGTCAGGGCATGAATGGGAGGCAATCGATCAATTTTTCTCTCTCACATTGATGATTCTCTCCCTGTCTTTCTCCCTCCCTGCCCCTTTCTCTAAAAATAAATATTTTAAAAGTTTAAAAAATTTAACCTGGTGCACATCTATTGAATTGCACAGCTGAGATGTGAACCCAGGTCTGTTTGATTCTAAAGCTCAAAAGCGGAGTGTGCGACTTCATAAAGGGAAAGGAGGAAAACATGAAGAAGGCCTTTATTTATTGGGGAGAAGGAAAACGATGTGGCTTCTACCAGTACAGAATTGGTGGGGTTCATTCCTTCAGCAACTCTCTTGCTCCACTCTATTTTAGGTTTAGGAATAATCTCAAAAGGAATGAACTGTTCTTATTGGTCTTGAGCTTTGCCCGTTTTTTAGCTAAAAAACATGCAGCCAGATTATGGGCCATTCAAATTTCCCCAGCCTAGCAGGGACACCCTGATGCTTGTATGTCTCTCAAGCATTATATACTCCTTCTACAGCTATACAGCAGAGTGAGCTAACAGCACAGCTCATAACATCACCTCTTAGGGGCTGAGAATGGCTCTGAGTGGGTGGTTTTCGAAGAAATTGCTAACCTCTTCCAAGCCAGGAGTCTGTGGGACCACCTCCCTGAACTGTCACACCAGGTCAGACGATGCGCGCACGGACTTCACAGGGCCAGAGCCTCTGTTAGGTCACTGGCCCTTCTCTTCCCTATCCAAGAGTCCTTGCAAACTATTAGTGCCCAGCAGGGCCATTCGACCTTTTTGGTATGTTTTAAACTTTTGGATAGTAAGAATACATACATATATGAGCTTCTCTATAAGATAAATTCCTAAAAATGGAAATAAGTCAAATTTAAACAATTTGACAATGATGTCGATCCCCCTGCAAGAGTAACCCATTGGTTCATGTTCTTCCCTGCAGTGCATGCATGTGTTTGAGCCCTAACCCTCACCAGCACCGAGTACTACCTGTGCCAGAGTGACAGGTAAAGCATGGCATCTGTGATTGCAGTTTGGGTTTTGTTTACCTTTGGCTTCAATCCTCTGGCCATTTCCAATTAGGCAGTCCTTGATGTCTGCTCCCTTCTCGATCACAGCGTTGTTGCAGATGACACTACCCCAGATGTTGCATCTGTAACACAGTAGTAGCTAAGTTAGGGAGTGCTCGGCTCCATCACCATGTTCACCACTGTGGGCTGGGGGTGCTGGCTTCTCCACAGGCGAGGAACAGCCAGTCAGTTCAGTTAATGGTTACAGGCCTGAAGTATCACTAGAAGACAGAAGGGCTCAGCTGGGTCGAGGAAAGACCTGGCTTTAGGGAAATCCACAGCGTGGATATGCTCATGGTGACCTTTCTCCCAACAGCCTGAAAAGAGCAGACACTCTGGTTTCAGATCTTTAGGCACTCCAGACCTAAATTCCATCTGCCCTTTCCTCCTTTAGCTGGGGGCGGAAGCTGGTGCTGGTCCCCAGGCTGACCTGTCCCTCCTGCCCCTCACCTGGGAATATATGCCAAATTTCATTGACAGCTCAGGTCCTGTGAATCTTCCTAGGAGGTCAGCTGTGGAAATAATGGGTGCCCTGCAGCTCTCAAAACAGACTGTGGTTAAAACCATATTCACTGAGAGAAAAAGGATGCCTTTCAAACTATCTGCATGCCCTATGAAAGACCACTCCAGGCCCTAAAGCCACACTCCCACAAGCAGTACTGTTGGCTCTTAACATTTAAATGTGTTTAAGGAGTATCTTCCTGGCTCTTAAAGTCTGGTGGGTGAGAGGAAAGAGAGATTTTGAAAATCTTCTCTAGCACTTACTGCATACCTATTTTATGCCAGATACTATGCTAAATATTCCATGTATATTACAGGAGTGACTTACAAATCTAGCCATTTCATCAGAAAAATCACCTGGGTAATGTTAAAAATAGCAAAAAAAAAAAAAAAACACCCCATTCTCGATGTGCTGGCCCCCATCAACCTTTTGGTAGGTCTAGGATGAAGGGCCTTATGTAATTAATTAGGAAAAAATAGTTTCCTACCTGGCTGGTGTGGCTCAGCGGATTGAGTGCTGGCCTGTGAACCAAATGGGTCTGATTCCCAGTCAGGGCACATGCCTGGGTTGCAGGACAGGTCCCCAGCAGGGGACGCACAAGAGGCAACCACACATTGACATTTCCCTCTCTCCCTCCCTTCCCCTCGCTCTAAAAATAGATAAATAAAATCTTAAAAAACAAAAGCTTCCTAGATGATTATGGGAGTATGATTTTTACCTCTGATGTAATAGAAATAACCACATTTTATAGATAAGGCAACAAAGAATTTACCTAAACCACTTAAACCATTTATATAAAACCACGTAACTGCCAAGTAGCAGATTCAATTCTAGGTCTGCCTGACTCCAGAATCCATACATTTAACTAAAATACCATACAAATAAATAGGGGAGAAAAGGCTGGAGGAAGCCTGGAACTGCCAAGCTGCTTTGCAGAGCTGAGATGGCTCTGGAAGGAGCCTTAACAAGATGATATTCAGTGTCCTAAAGAGTCAGGGTCAGATGGAGGGAGGAAGGAGGTGAGTAAGAAGGGTGTGAGCTTCCATGTAAACAAAACAAAACAAAACAAAACAAACACAACAGCCCTGGCCAGTGTGGCTCAGCTGGTTGGGTGTCGTCCCACAAAACGAAAGGTTGCCAATTTGAGTCCCAGTCAGGGCACACATCTGGGTTGTGGGTTCGGTCCCCAGTCAGGACATGTACAAGAAGCAGCTGATCAACATTTCTCTCTCATACTGATGTTTCTCTCCCTCTTTCTCCTTCCCTTTCCCTCTATGTAAAAAATAAATAATTAAAAAAAATTTTCCCCCCAAGAATGAAAAAAACAAGACACCGACTGAGGAAAAATCCTCAGGCAACCTAGGAGGCTGGGGGATGGAGAAGGGACATTCCAAGGGCTAAAATTATTGATGTGCAGCCTATTAAAAAAGATTCTCCTAAATGCCAAAACTTTAGTAAAATGCCAGAAACAAAACAAAACAAAAAAAACCCTACCCCAAAACACCCCAAACAAACAAACACACAAACAAACAAACAACCCAACTAGAGCTTTATGGCATTCCAGAATCTTTGTTCATGTCTATCCTTCCCTGCTGGAAAGCAGTAAAAGGCCAAAGCCACAGCACCTCTGTTGTATGGGCTAGAGATGGGCAGAGACAGCGTTAGTTAGTTAGTTTGTTTGTTTTTTGCTCAAACACAGGATATACTCACTAGGTGGACATTAAGGGACCTTCCAGAGCTTTCCAACCTGCCCTCTGCCTTAGGCAAAGCAGTCCAGTCAGAAGTCAGAGTGGTTCCTGCTCCCTGGGGAAAATTCTCCCCAGCAGAATAGTAAGGAAGTATAGACAACTTCAGATACACAGGCTCCTGGGACACAGCAGGCTTGCAGCTGGCTACCAGTGTGTCACTGAAAAGTCTCCTTTCTTTTTCCAAGGGGAAATGGGGGGATGCTTCCTGCTCAGCAGTTTTAAGGGCCCATGAAAGCACGCTCTGGAGCTAGGAAAGTATAAACACAGTCAGCAGACAAAAAACAGTCAACAGAAACTCAAGCAGCCATAATTAGAGACTACTAACTGGCTATTCTGGAATCTGGGATGTGAGTGGGAACCATTTCTGGAAGGAGGAGGCTGGAACGACTGGGGTCAGAGTCCCATAGCAATGGATAGCCTGGGTTCTCCTTATGTCTAGCAGGTCGGACCGAGGTCTTCAGAACCTCCCATGTTGCTTTTCTTTTCTATTGTAATGCCCTCTAAGACACATAAACCTCTACTGTACAGTCTGCAGACGTGATAGGGAAAAAGAGGGTTGACTGATGGGAAGCTGGGGGCTCTCCTGAGGGCCGGGCAAAGGCTCTGAGATGAACACCTGACAACATGCTCAGTGAGAGGGAAGCTCTTTTCTCCCACTTGTTCCTTCAACTGCTCCCCATAACCACTGCTGCAGTCACAAGTCACCTCCACTAGCACAGCTGAGGCACTTTGAAAAAACTTCAAGCCAATACACCTTCCCCTCTGTCCAGAAGGAAACTCCAAGATAAGGACTTTACTGAAAGTGTTGTGTGTGCTCACGCTGGAGGGGAAGGACAGAGACCACTGTATCACACAAGTCTGCAGGCTGCCAGTGCGCAGTAAGGCCTTTTCTGCTCACGCTAATAGCGGGAGGGGAGGTCGCTTCCTGTGTCCTGTAACTCCAGGAAAGAACGGACCCCAGTGCCAGGACCACAGTTTTTGCCTCTAGTTTTAACTCTCAGCTTGATACTAAGGAGCCTGCTGTGCTAATGCCTGATTGTGTGCTTTAAGGAGCTGCTCAGAGACAGCTAAGATGAATGGTGCTTGGGTCCTTGTTTCTCCTCGGTGGGCCTAACTTTTAAGCAAAGCTGTAGGTCTTGGTAAATTGCCCTGGAAACCCTAATGCGTAAGTGGAGTGGAGGCCATGAGGAAACACAGAGGTCTTCAGTAAGATCTCACTGCTCAGCCAGGAGCACCGGGCTGCAAGCCGGACTCACGGCATGGAGAAGGTAGGGGCCCTGACCTGGGAAGCAAGAGTGCTTCCAGATTCTTGCTCCTCTTCTGGCTCCGGTCAGGACTTCCTCCAGTTTATTCCAGGAGGAAAGGGAACTCACGTAAATCTAGTGTCTAACACTTCTTCATTGCACAAAACACTTTATATCCACAGGTAACTTAATCTTTTTAGCAAACCTGTGGGGATAGTGGTATTTATTCTAATTTTTGGAGAAAATCGAGGCTCACGGAGGTTAAGCAATGTACCTGAGACTACACAGTGGTGACTCTACTGTGTCACGGGCTTCTGCCTCAGGTGTTGACTCGGCAGTACTGGCAAGGAGCCAGGAAGCTTCTCAGTAACCGAGGACAGGCCGGTTCTTCTCTGAGGGTAAGTTGGCAGGCTTTCTAAACTCACTCACAACCTTTTCTACACATGTGACAAAACATCTGACTCACTGCTGCAGCCCGAGATTATGGCTGAGTCATCTGTATCTTTCCAGATGCCAAGGCCTCTTAACCTTACCTCAGCGATTTTCAACCTTTCTCATCCCATGGCATACATAAACTAATTAAGTAGAATTCAGCAGCACACTAAAAAATATATTTTTTGTCAATGTGACAAAAAAAGCATAATTGTGACTGATTTATAAAAAAAAAAAAAGTAACTTGCTTACCCTTTTTGTTCCCAAGTGACTTGTAAAAAATCAGGTGCCTATACTTGTATATAAGGATTTCTGGTACCAAGAATTAACCAATCAGATGCAATCTTATGCAACATGACCAATAAGATGCTATTGTATGATCTATATATTCATGATTCAAGACAGGGCATTCACACCAGACGGCCATTCTTGTTTTTGGTTGTCATTTTTTTTTATTTGACAATCTAAAGGAGAAGCGGTCAGTGCCCCTGACTAAATAGGCAGGTATTGCATGTTTTAAGAATTTTTGCAGCACACTGGTTGACAATCGCTGCTCTAGATGAAGTACCATATATTATTGTTAACAAAAGATTTCAGACATAGCAAAGTCTAGAGAACATAAAGAACATCTGTGGACCCACCAAACAGCTCAAGAAACAAACACTGCAACCTGCTGTGCATCTTTCTTGGTCCCCCTCGCCCCTCCTCCTACCTGAGCCAACCACTGTGTGACTCTGGTGTTCACCGCTCTGAAGCACTCCCGCTGCACCCGGGGGAGGTGCGTCCAACCTCCCGTGCGCCACACAGGCCTGTACTTCCGCAGATCTGCGCCCCCCTCGCCCTTCCTCGAGTGCACCGCCATCCACCCTGTTTCCTCAACCAGAAACCTGGCCTTCACCCACCAACTGTCCTCTCCCTTACCCCTTATATCTCCTCCTTGCTCATTCTCTGTCAGTCTCCTTAGACCTCACTTCTTACATCTAAAATTGCTGGTGTTTTCCAAGATTTTGTGTTAGTTTCTTTTCTTTTAATGCCACACGCTATCCCTCAGTGATCTTACTTACTCCTACACTTTCAGTTACCACCTCTATGCCAACTATTCCCAAATCTGCACTTTCCCTGGTAAACAGAATCTCCACGGATTTTTGAAGCCAGGTGTTGTGTGGGCTCCTCTTCCCAGCTCTGATGCTCTGGACTGGGAGCTCTGCTTGGGGTTGAGACCCCATGCTCCCTGGTCAGGGGAAGGAGGGTGGTTTGCAGCTGAGATAGCCCTCTGGATTCTCAGCCGTCACAGGTGGGTGTGGGGCCAGCTCTTCCCTCGGCCCTTCCTACCAGTCCAGATGCGGCTTCTTCCGTAAATCCCTGGCTATAAGATTTTTGTCAACTAGTCTATTTAGTGGTCATTCTGGTTGATTGTTGTATACTCTGCCGTCATCTTGGACCCCCCCCACCCTCTATTTTTCTTTTAGCCAGGATGATTTCAGTAGTCCTCCTGCCTCTGTGTGCACCCTCTTCAGATCCTCCTCCACACTGGAGCCAAAACAATCTTCATAAAATGTGGATTTAATCATGTTATTACCTATTAAAGTCCTTAGGGGATTGTCTATGATTTGGTCTTTGTCCATCTCTACAGCCTTGTTTCCTGTGTATTCTTTCTTCTTTGAATCATATATTACAGTCATTATGAATTGTTTATGACTCTTTTATGTAACAAATACGTATACATCAAGTTCCTGTAGGTCCTCAGGATATAACTGTGAAACAGGAAGATCAGGTACTTCCATTCTCAGGCTAACATTTTCCTTGTGAGAGACAGGGAAACAAGATAAGACCAGAAGGTAAAAATGATGTGACAGAGAACGCTGGGGCAGATTCCTGCTGGGAAGGCAGTCAGCAAAGCCTCTCCTTAGATGGTGAAATCTTTCTGAGCTATCGAAATGGGGAGATGTTTCTAAAATAAAAAATGTTATCACATTTTTAATTTCCTAGAGTTCTTTTTCTGTTCTTTGAAACGACAAGTTGCTTGAAAGTGTCTTTCTCTTCCTGCAGAGCCTTTGTGTCCTCCAAGCTGCTTCTCCCACCCTCACCCCGGCAGCTGTGAGAGGCAGTTCAGCTGTCACCAGCCTTGCAGTCTCTCCTTGTGCTTCTCTCCTGTCGGGTCCCGGGCTCAGAAATCCACAGATGTCCGAGCTACAGTTAATCTCAGCCGACCCAGCCTTGTGGTTCTCTAAGTTTGTTCTACAGATCTGCTTCACATCCTATAGGAAGGGTAAGTTCCCCTTCCCCACTGTATTCCAAAGCACCGTGGTTTTAGCAGTTTTAAATATTGAGTTTTTGCATAAGATTTATTTTAAGAAAAAGTCTGAAAACCACTGATTTGGTAATATCCTTCCATCGCCTAAGCTTGCTTTTTACACAAGGACGTATCTGAGGTCCATGCAGAGGGAGAATCCTACTAGACATCCCTCGGGTTTTCTTCCTCCAAGTAACGGCTGTTCACAAACAAGGTTGAGGACACTGTGGGATCTCAAAATGGGGGAATATTCTCCATAACTTGTAACAGAGAAGCTCTCCCTCAACACAGTGTGTGGCCTACACATCCACTCCTCTCAGGCCTCCGCCTTCTTCAGGGCTGCTCTGGACAATGAGGTAAGGGACGGTGACCCTTAGATGTTGGTACAGTGCCATGCCAGCGCTGCCAGTGGCTCACGGCTGTGCCATCCCTTCAGGCAGGACATCAAAGCAAGAGAGGGCAGTTTCTTCCAGGACCACAGTGGTCGTAAGTGTGAGAAGCCACTGGAAATGCTTTTGGAGACCATTTCATTATGGAATGAAAACTAAGACCTCAAAGGACTAGGAACTATTCCTGCTTCCATCTTTTTCCCTTTCTCCCCTTCCCCAGGCTGTACTAGTCCCCAAAGCCTCTGAGGGTACCAGGGGCCTTGCCTCAAGTGGGTCCCAGGGGAAACATACCCTTCCTCCACAGTGACTGAGTTCATAAGAAGGCAGTTGGTGATAGTCACTCTGTCTCTGATGACACAGGATGAACCGATGACCGAGCACTTAATGGATGATTTCTCTCCAACCCGGGCATCCGGCCCGATGAGGCAGTCAGCTCCAACCTGCAAAAGGCAAAGGTAAAACCCTGCCCATTCATCTCAGCCAACTGCCAAGTAGCGCCCCAGACCCCTTGAGCTGGGGTCTAATAGGATGTTTTCCTAGAGACACTCCAGGAAGAGGGGCCATCATCAGTGTTTCTCAGGGTCACAAGGTTACAAAATATCTCTGGAACCAATTCAAACTTACACACGCACGCATATGGGCATACAGATGTGCTTTCTTGCAGAGAGTGCTCAAGTCAGGGTAAGAAGAGGGAGAGACATGGAAAACTCCTGCATCTGCGTCTAAAACCCGGGACTGTAATGGACCTTCCTTGTAGGGTTTGTGTAGCTGGGGTCAGCACCTGTCCAGGCAGATGCTAGAGTGCCTGGGCTAGAAAATGAAATTTTATAACCAGAACCCAGTCGGGATTTCCCTGGGACTAATGAGGTTCCGGGTTCACGAGCCCAATCCAGCTTCACCAGGATAAGCCTCAGCGCAGCCAGAGGTTGTCCTGTACCCGCCCTGCCCAAGCTGGTACTTACCAAGTGTTTGTTGACAATCTGGGCTGATGAGTGGACCAGTGATTCCTCGGGACAGAGAACAGGTAGCAATTTGGGCACCTTGAGGAGAGAGGTTTGGTCATTAAAGAAAGACCAGAAAACACTTAGAAGCACCTTAGGTAGAACCCAAGGCCAGTCAGAGATGTGGGGAGTGTCCAGCCACAGCTTCCTGTCTGGAAGAGGCAGAGCAGGAGGCTGCTCATTTCCCCTAGGACAAGGATTAGATAGGAAGCAGCTTCTAGATGGTCTTACCCTCGGTTTCCTAGCTAAAAGTATCCTCCCTGAAGTAAGGCCACATCCCGCAGCTGGGAGGTGGGGAGATGGGAGAAGGGCCCTAATGAGGGCAAGGGGAGTCCTGAGTCTTGACCACAGTACCCGAGGTTCCTGCTCACCTCCCGGACCATTGTGGCCATGCGTGAGGCGGGACCGAGAGCAATGTTAGAGGAATTCTGTAACCAGGACAGACCTGGAGGAAGCGTCCATGTCCTTCACCAGCCAAGAGAAAGTGCTGAAGGGGAAGTTCCCACATTCTCTCTCCAGGATGAAGAAACTGACAGGGTTAGGAGTATGGACAGTCTTCACTCTGGACCCTTTAAGAAGGCACAGGTAGTGTGCCTGCCTGAGCTCTCCAGCATGGGCAGAATGATATGATATCCTGTGTGGTGGTCACAATGGCTGAGGCTGGCCTTGCTGGGGCTGGCTACACTGGCAATGTGAACGCTAACCCCTGTCCCTGTCTCCGGGTTCTCCTCTATTACACTTCGACCAAGGCCATTCAGGCCTGTCTGCTGCACAGCCCGCGCTGGCACTTCAGAGGCTACTTCTCCAGCCTCGGGCTGTCCACGGACCTGTTTCTGACTGTTCTGACAGGCTCTAGTTATAGAATTGAAGAAAGAGAACACAAAGTCAAATTAAGGAAGCTTTCCAACAGCTCTGACTCCAAATTGGGGCTCACTTTATCCAGGACTGCCCTGAGCGAACATGGGACCAGCCATGATTTTTCATAAACTCTCTGGCCTGGATTCCCTTGGTCCTAGAGCCCATCCAGGTTGAGGCCAGCTTGGGGTCTGGGGCTACACCCACTGTGTGGCGTGGGTCCTGAACATTCCTGAGCTAGGTTTCTTCAGGGACTCAATCCAGTCCCGGTCTCCAACATCTTCCATCGCTTTCCCTCACCACCCCCACCCGGCTCCCCAGCTTACACCTGCATGGACAGCTTTCACAGGCTTCCGCCAGGAACCGCGTCCACGGCTGACCTCCACACCAGCTCACCCCTGCTGTCCTCGGATGCCGCTCATTTGTCTTTCCCTATTTTCATTTCACCCTTTACTGCTCTGCGTTTCCCTTCCACGGTCTCGTCATCCTTCTCTCCTAAAACCTTCCTCCTGTGCCTGCTACACACAGTAAAGCGCTCCCTGCACCCCGGCCCCTTCGCTGTCCCCTCTGCATCCCTTAACCAAGCTAAGACCTGGCTTGTCTTTCCCAGCACTGCTTCCCCTTCACAGAAGCTACTCATTCTCTGGGTCCCACAAACCTTGGGGTTAAAAAAGGGGGTTGGCAAGGCTCCTTACTCTCTCATGCTGTTTCCAGATTTTTCTCTCTCACAGACATTTCTTCCTTGAGGCTTTGCCACCTGGCTACTCTATACTCTTGTTCCTTCACCTTCTTAGGAAAGCCACCTCTGTGTGCCTGTGTCTACCTCGTCATGGTAATGATAATGCAGTATTTAAATGTCTGTTTATGAAGGACTGTAGAGATCCCCGTGCTGAGCAGAATACAGGAAAGCTACTGAACCCAGAGGCCATGAAGTAGCCTTCCTGGAGGTCTCAGCCTTTCCCTGGAGTCACAGCGGCTCTGCCTCTGTGGACCAGGCCCTCTGCTCCCACTTTTGCCGTACCTGGGTACCCCAAGGGTCTCTCCTGACATTTCACATTTTTCTTAACCTTAGGAATGAAAGGGATTCTGAACAGGTCATTGTCTACCTAATGAAGAAATAAGACAAAAGGTTTAGTCTGGCCCTGGCCGGGTGGCTCAGTTGGTTGGAGCACCGTCCCATACACCAAAAGGTCGTGGGTTCGATTCCTGGTCAGAGCACATGCCTATGTTGAGTTTGATCCTGCATTGGGGTGTGATCGATGTTTCTCTTTCATATCAATGTTTCTTTCTCTGTCTTTCTCTATCTGTCTGCCTCTCTTTCTCCCTTCCTCTCTCTCTAAAATCAATAAACATATCCTTGGGTGAGGATTTAAAAGAGAAAAGACTCAGTCTGTTTTTAGGGAAGAAGCTCACATGATTTCTCCTTTAAGCCCATCCTCTCACCTGTCTGTTTGCTTCTATGTAGAGTCCCAGGGTGCTCAGTCGAAGGCAGAGCCCTTCTTTCATGATATGGACATAGCAGCGCACCTGTGACCTGGACAAGTCTTCCCCCTTGTCTCCTCGACAGGCATTCCAGCAGCCATCATAGGGAGTAAAGGTCAGTGTGTTGTCCTCTTTTATAAAACTGTAAATATCTTCAGAACAAACATCAAACCAAGCAAGTGAATGAGAGAGATGACAGAGAGGATACAGACTCAGTGAGTTTTTATTTATTTATTTTTAGAGCAAGGGGAAGGGAGGGGGAAAGAGAGGGAGAGACACATCAATGTGTAGTTGCCTCTCATATGCCCCCTACTGGGGACCCGGCTCGCAACCCAGGCATGTGCCCTGACTGGGAATCAAACCAGTGACCCTTTGGTTTGCAGACTAGCACTCAATTAACTGAGCCACACCAGCCAGGGCTGATTCAGTAAGTTCTGAAAGAGGTTACACCTCACACCTCTCCCGCTGGAACTCACTCATGCAGCTTTGACCCTGGGGAAATCCCAGTAAAACCTGAGACTAAGTAAAATTAAAAGAGTCAATGTGCTTTCTTGTATGTTTGAAATATTGTATAATACAAAAATGCTTAAAGCCCTGGCTGGTGTAACTCAGTGGATTGAGTGCAGGCCTGTGAACCAAAGGGTTGTTGGTTTGATTCCCAGTCAGGGCACTTGCCTGGGTTGCAGGACAGGTCCCCCATGGGGGGAGCATGAGAGGCAACCACACATTGATGTTTCTCTCCCTCTCTTTCTCCTTCCCTTCCCCTCTCTCTAAAAATAAATAAATAAAATATTTAAAAAAATATTTTAAATTTTTAAAACAAAACAAAACAAAATAGGCAAAACAAAATAGGTGACTCTTGTAAATCATGAAGTAATCCAAGCAAGTGCCCAGACTTTAGCGACCTGCCATACTGTGGGGCCAGAAACAGCAAAGAAGAGCTGGGCTCTAGTTTCCCCACTCTTACAATAATCATTTGGGATCTTTTATTTTATGATGAGAAAACTAAGGTTCAGAAGACTGGGTACACCAAAAAGCAACCTAAATCTACCTACATATCACAACTGAGACAAACTGGGGAGTATGTTGTCTAAGGTCAAATAAAATGTGTTTTGGAAAAAAAAAAGAAGACTTAAGTAGCCTCCCTCAGATCTCAGAGCTAATAATTCATTTCATAAATATATACTTTTAGACAGGGATATGAGAGCAAACAAGACAGACCCACCCCTACACCCTGGAAAGGAGACCCCTGGTTGTATACCCTTCTTCCCTGGACAGAGGAGGCTGAGTTTGGTCAGGAGTGGGGCTGCCCAGAGCCTAGAAAACAGGGGAACTGCGAAGTGCGGGGCGGAGCTTAAAGTTAAAATGGTCCAGTGAGGAACACAGTCCAACCAGGGCAATGAACCAGAGAATGAACCTGAGGCATGATTAGCCTGCCTCCGAAGAGCACCGTGACAGGATCTGCTCGAGCCAGCTCACCCAGGGCTCAGGAAGTGGCGTCAGCGAGCCCGTCCTGCCCAGTGCTAGACACAACTCTGTTGCCTCGAGACAGGCATCTTGGGCTGGGCTAAGCTGCCCAGCCACTCTTCCCAAAGGCGCGGCTACCCCGACCTTATTGTACCAGCCCAAGCACTAACCTAAGGGCTTTAGCTCCTTTTTCTTTAGGTCCTCCTCTTTTTCTTCTTGTCCTTGTTGTGAGGAAGCTGAGGAAAACTGTTTTCTTACTAGGTACGGAATCAGTTCACTCCGGATGGAAGTGATTGACCTAGGAAGAAAGAATGGTCAAATATGAGACACCTGACTGTCTGGTCCTAGGGGGCTCTAAAACTCTGGCATCCAAGGGAAAGCCAAATTCCTTCCTGTTGTGACACCTGGGGACTGCCAGAGATGAAAGGTGGCATGAACTTGGCAGTTCTGGAGAAGCAGTGGATCTAAGTTCTCTACCAGCTTCAGGCTGCAGGAAGGAGGGCAGTGCACTGAATCTGGGACTCCCTTCCCATGATCTATGCAGAAAAGTCTTTCACAAAGCACCACCCACATGGCACGTGTGTGAGTGCATGTGTGTGCTTTAACATGGTGCCTTGACTCTTAACTGGCGACAACCCACGAGAAGACAGAATGCTCTGATCTTCTGAGAAAAGTTGTCTAAAAATCTTTTTTTTTAACTTTTTAAAAAAGATTTTATTTATTTATTTCTAGAGAGGGAAGGGAGGGAGAAAGAGAGAGAGAGAGACATCAATGTGCAGTTGCTGGGGGTCATGGCCTGCAACCCAGGCATGTATCCTGACTGGGAATCGAACCTGGGACACTTTGGTTCACAGCCCGCACTCAATCCACTGAGCTATGCCAGCCAGGGCTTAAAAATCTTTCTCCATAAAGGCCTTACTTATCTTGTCAGCTTAGTCCTTAGTATTGTGTGTATATCCATGTACATATGTATATATATTTTAAAAGATTTTATTTATTTTTAGAGAGAGGGGAAGGGAGGAGGAAAGAGAGGGAGGGAAACATCGATGTGTGATAGAAACGTCCATTGATGCCTCTCGCCCCAGACTGGGAATCAAACCGGTGACCTTTCACTTTATGGGACAATGCTCAACCAACTGACCCACGCTGGTCAGGGCAGTACTGTATATATTTTTTTGTTGGTATTATAAAAGGTATCTTTTAAACAATTATTTTCTTCTTGTTGGTTATAGAAATACAGCTTATTCTCTATTTTGATTTTATAGCCAACTGTTACGCTAAAAAATCTTATTAATTCTAGCAATTTATCTGTAGATTCTGACAATCACTCCAACTATGAAAACAACAATTTTCTTCCTTCATTTTTTAAAAATTATTTTATTGTTGTTCAATTACAGTTGTGTGTATTTTCTCCCTACTTTTCTTTTTTAAAAAAGATTTTAGTTGTATTTATTTATTTTTAGAGATTTTATTTATTTTTACACAAAGGGAAAGGGAGGGAGAAAGAGAGAGGGAAACAACCATGTGTGGTTGCCTCTCGTGCACCCCGCACCGGGACCTGGCCCACAACCCAGGCAAGTGCCCTGACTGCGAATCGAACTGGCGACCCTTTGGTTCACAGGCCCATACTCAATCTACTAAGCCACACCAGCCAGGGCTCTTTCTTCCTTTCTAATCTCTCTACATTTTATTTTCCCTGTTTTACTGTATTGGCTAGGACCTCCACTATAATGCTGAATAGAAATGCAGACAGCAGTCATCTTTATTTGTTCTTGATTTCAAAAAGAATTCTTCTAATATTTTATCACTTAGACCGATGATTGTTGTTGTTACTTTTTTCATTATCACAGGTACCATTTATTGATTGTCTTCTTTGTGTAGATATTGGTCTTCATGCTTTATAGCTAATAGTTGGCACATGTTATAGGCCTTTTTGTATAGTCCCTTTATCAGATTAAGAAAGTTCTCTTTTATTTCTAATTTGTTATGAACTTTCATCAATTAATAGGTATTGAATTTTATTAAAATATATTTTTGCATCTAAGGAGCTCATATTTTTTCTTTTAATCTGTTTGATGATGACTTTTTTCTAATAATAACAGCTGTGTTATTCAAAGACTGTAGGCAAGACTTCTGCTCTCTACTTCCTCACAGTAGAGAGACTATGGGAGATTCTTTTATTCTTTATGCAAATCATCAATTTCTACAATTTTAGGCCATTCTTAGGTTTTCTGTCTCTCACTTTTTCTTAGCTCCTATGAAACTATTCTCCTGGTGTGATTCAAATTCTGTAAATTTAAAATCCATTTTAATGACTAAGTACTTCCGTGCAGATGTCATTGTTCCATGGACTTGAGTGGGCGCCCCCACATCACCACAGCTGTACTCATTTACCAGTGACTATCACAGAATATCTAGAACAAAGTGAACTTCAATTTACTTTCATGTAATCAGATTAGCCTAGGACAGCAATTTTCAACCTTTTTCATCTCATGGCACATATAAATTACTCAAATTCTGTAGCACACCAAAAAAAATTTTTTGCTGACCTGACCATAAAAAAGATATAATTTTGATTCATTCACACTGGACGGCTATTGTTGTGTTGGCTGTTGTCATTTTTAAATTTGTCAATCTAAGGAAAAAGGTCAGTGGCCCTGACTAAAATAGTCAGGTATTGCATGTTTTAAAAATTTTTGTGGCTCACCAGTGTGCCTCTTGCGGCACACGAGTTGAAAATTGCTGGTTAGGACAGTACTCAGAAAATAAGGTCAACAATCAATGTGTAAAGAGCTTCCAGAGGCAAAAAAATTCCAACACTATTTTTACATTACATTACAAGCAATAACTAACTTTGGCTGAGAACTTGAGAGCTGTTCTTCATTTGGGCTTTTTGGGGTTTAAATGATTAGGAATCTGTAATGGGGAAGAAGAGGCCCGATCCTTAGTCCAGTGAATATGCTTTTGATTTATACTGAGCAAAAGAAATGAAAGCACAGAGGGGTGAGAGACTAGCGCATAATTTTTAATTTTCTCTCTCACACTGCGACCTTGTGAGAATTTTAAATCACTAGTTAATTTATTTAGCATTTAACAAGCATCTATTAATATGCTAGTAACTGCTCTGGGCCTGGGAAATATACAGTTTCTGACTTTAAATAATTCATAATCCAGTGGACAGTAGCCTGATTCTGAATTTAAGGAGAAGGGCAGAAGGAGGTGAGGCTAATTAAGTAGTAATGAGCCAGATCATGGAAGCCTTTTACAGTAGTTTTCAAGCAGAAAAATGACAAAATCAGTTTTATTTCTTAGTCAGATAATTCTGGTAGCAGTGGAAATAGACCTGAAAAAAGGAGAATGAAGTCAGGGAGACCAGTAACAAGACTCTAAAAACAGCCCTATAAACCTGATTGCTAATGCATATTCCCCAATGCACAGCTCTGCAGGCTGACACGACCACACAGATGGAGTGTAGGTAGGAAGGCAAGACAGGGGCAGAGGCTGAGGAGGGTAAGCAAAATTATGAACCCTGGAGCTACACAGTTCATGGTTTTTGTCATTTTTTAAAGGATCAAGTCAAACATCTTTGAAAAATTCTGTGTAAGCTGGAAGCTCTTGTATTGAATTTCAATGTGATTTTTCTTCTGATCATTTGATGGAGATTAAAAATTTCCATATGAATACAAAGAATGAAACATTTACTCTTAGCTCATTTTCTCTTCTTTTAATGCACCAAACCAGTGTTTGTAGCAAATGTTCCTTGGCCCCCTCTGGTAGAAACAAGTCAGTTCCCTTTGAAGAAATGACAAAGCAAGGCCAGCTGGGGGATTTCAGAGGCATGACATTTACATTATGGGCCAAACAGAACCGTCACTGCAAGAGGCAAGCCCCGGCACACAGCCCCTTTAGGCAGAGCCCTTTCAGGAGATCAGGCAGTGGTATGAGGAGAGGACATGAAGCAGTCTGGCCAGTTCCCACCTCCCTCTGCTGGCACTCGACATCAGGCCAGGCCCCATAATGCAACTGGCTTAGCAGCATAATGAAGGCCAAAATGACTCTTCCGGTTTCCTGCTCAAAGTGGAGCCAGCTCAAGGCTGTGCTAATAAGTGGGACAGGCCACTGAGAAGCACTGTGAACATCCTGACCTTGGGGTTGAAGACCAACAGCTGACCCTCCCAATGCCCCTGGCCTGGGCCACTCACTTTCTCCCTTCGCTCCTATACACAGCCTTCCCCAAAACTCCTGCCTCATGATATTGGAAGCTCCTAAGAAAAAAGACATCGCAAAGGAGAACAACAGACTTGACCACTAGCAGTAAACAAACAACTCCACCAAATTAAAAGACAAAATAACTGCTATAAATAGGACAAAAGGTCAATATCCTAAATAGATATAAATGTTCAAAAAATATGCAAATATTTTTTAAGAAATAAAAGTTAAAACAAGCTCTAATTTCTAACCCCCAATCGAATTAGCAGATTTAAAATAATTCTCATTACTAATAAGAGAGCTTTGAGATAGTTATTCTCATGTAAAGGGAGTCAGAGGGTAAACTGGTAAAATATTTTCTGAAAAGTAATTGGAATACATAGCAAAGAGTGGAAGAATACTCTTTTTTTACTTAGTCAACTGCTGAAATCCTCATCTCTTTTTTCGCTGCTTCCATACCAAATTACTGCTGCCGTTGAAATGGTCACTACATCTCCTTTCCTCCCATTCACCAAACAGACAGGGGTGGCAACTGTAGGATGGCAGTTGTTCTTTTGGAAAATAACACAATAATTAATAATAAATAATACTACAAGAATAAACTGTGTTTCACACACAACTATAAACCGACTTTTGCTCATTCCTGTATATTGAATGCCTTATCAATCCTGGTAGGTATCTAATTTCAAAGAATTTTTGTGGAAGAATTAATGTGTAAAAATCTTAAAAAGGCACAGGGCAGAATATGTTAACTTTCACATGTGAAAGGTAACAAAGGATTGCTATGCCATCTCTTCTTGAAGTTGCAACTTGTAGATTTATTGTTCTTTTCCATGCCTAAAGATAAGTCATCATTCCATAACCAGATTATTATAAATAACTCCAATTTACCTTGAAGGAGTCTCTTTCCCATCCACAATCATCTGTGTTCCCCTGCCAAGTTATATCATTGCTCATTCTACATGGGACTACGCTGTTTACAGAGCTGTACTCCCTGCTCAGCTTTCAGGGCCTTCCACATGCTGTTCCCTCTGACCTCCAACCTATTCAATCCCATCTCCCACAGCTTTGGACAAGACCTCCACTATTCCAGCCAGGAATAAAGAATCCCCTTGAGTACTATTCAAATATATCCTTCTGTGTCCTTACTTTTTCCTAGTATGTTACAATTGATCAATATTCAATATATTGAAATGTTGGGAATAATGCCTTTATTCCCAAAAACTCCGAGAAGGGTAAATGCAGAAAGAAAGATAAGATTCTCCTGAACAGATCTGGAGATGGGGAGGCAGTCTGAGTTGAGGCTGTGCATTATTCTCCATTACAACAGTTCTGAGGAAGTCCTGTTTGGCAGAGCTTCTGGCTCGAAGCCACAGAATCACAATTCAGGCTTGTCCTCAAGGGACACACCACTGCACTACACTTGCCAGGTGTGGGAACAGCCTCTGGCGGTGGCCAAGTGAGCTACAAAGGAGCTAGTATCCTGGTATCCAGAAATGAAAAGTTGTAACCCCACTTGGTAGTATTAAGGAGGCTTTGTTAGTTTTTTTTAGGAGTTATAATGGTATTAAAGTCTTTGTTTAAAAGTAAAAAATACTGTTTATGTTTTAGAGATACATACTGAAATATTTACAGATAATTACAACCGAAATTATTACAGATGAAATTATATCATAATGACTAGCTTTAAGATAATCTGGTGTGACAGTGGGTAGGTGGGTAGTAGCATAGACAAAACAAGACTGACCATGAACTGATAATCGCTGAAGCTGTGGGATGGATTCATGGAGTTCATTACGTTACTTTCTCTACTTTTGTATTTGTGTGAAATTTTCCATAGTAAATAGTTAAAAAAACAACAACCCCATGATCTCTACTATTGCATTCCTTTCCAGCACATCAAGGACAGAGCCTATTTCATAAGACTTCAAATTCATTTGGGAATAAAAAAATAAACCCTTTAACGGCCAAGAGTAATTTCATTTTCAGAATACGGGTAGCCCAGACTAGTAACTGGCAAACGGGTCCTGGATCACTCTCATCTCGGCAGTATGTTTCCTGGCTGTTTAAGAAGCCAAAGTCTCTACAATCCACTGTGGCGCTCGGCTGTAAGTTCCATGAGGGCTGGCCATGCTGCGTATTCACCGTTGATCCTACCATTGGTCTAGCACAGCGCCTGCCTCATAACAGGTGCTTCATAAGCTATCTGTTGATCGAATGAAAAAACAGAATAGTAAGCCAGAAGAGAGCAGGCAAATAGTGTCCTGGGAGGAAAAGCAGAGAAACAACAATCCCTGTGAAAGTGGGGAGTCCAAATGGTTTGCTTTACCATTGGCTATACATGGGCCTTCCTATAGGGTTTTAGCAGGTGTTGTACAGGATGAGGGTTAGGATGCTGTACAAAATGTCATATAGGGCACAGCAGAACAATTCTCTTTCTCCTCCATAGCCAAGTGCATCAGCTAAGGGCACGCTGGCATTTGCACTCAGGTTTTCTGCCTTCCTCCCGCAGCCGATCTGAGGAAACTCGCTGCGGCGGCACACCATGCTGCCTGCTTTCCGGCCCTCCAGTGCTTAGGGTTCAGGGGCGACACGGATTCAGCAGCCATCAGGGGGACTAGCTGCTCCTCTTCTTACCCACACACTTATTTAATCTTTCCCACCTGTTCCTCTGGGGACTCAAGGTGCATTTTCTATCAAAAATCCTTGAGATCAAGAGCAAAAGGAGGTTTTCCCTCTGAAAACCCAAATCCTGTGATTTTCCAGATACAACCTCTGGGAATTATTAAAGCCCACAGTTCTGTTCTCAAAGCAGAATCAGAAAAGTACTAAAATTTTATTCTCTGCATTCATGCATGTTCACTCAGTAAGGTGGACTTCTTTTCCAAAATTGGAGGGAAACTAGCCCTTCTTTTTCTGCACCTCTGGGGCAATTCTCCTGGCCCTCTGCTGAGAGGGCCCATCAATGGTATAATTGCCGAGGGAAGGACATCTGCTGGGAGACAAATAGTGCTAGGGCTGGAAAGCTCACCCTTGCAGAAGAAAGTAAGAACAGCCTGGAACTGTGCAGAAAGAGGAATCATAGGTTACTATTAGTTTTATAAAAATATCTTTCTGATTCATTATAACAGAGGTCCCAAAAATATAAGCGGGGGACTCTGTGGTACAGACAAAAATCACAGTATGCTGATAACATGATTTCATTTCTAGAACAAAGGTGACAACAAATTGTGTTATTTTATAAACTGGTTACCTAACATTATCAAGGTTTAAAACTGTAAACTAAGTCACACGGTTAACTTAGGCACTGTGGCTCCGACTCTATCTCTTTCTTACTCATTTTCCATAAGGAAGTCCACAACGTATTTTTTCATGCAGTAGAGATGGGCGTCCACGAGGCCTGTGTGGAAACGTATTCTAGGGTGCCTGCAAAAAAGAGAAGACAGAAGGCGCTCACAATCAGGTAAGCAAGGGTTCTATCCTGTTGTTAGGCTGCAGGCATCAGAAAGCCTGTAAGAGCCATGCTGCCTACACCCCACTCCGAGGAGACCGAGATGGTGGACACCAGCTCTGATCCAACCCCCGAAAAGGTCTTCTCTTTACAGAAACCCTACTTCACAATTTATGAGGATTTTAGGCTTCTAAGGCATTAAACCAAAATCCATAAGCCACCAAATCACCCACAAGCCACCTTCTATTCTATCACTCTTACCCACAAATCCTGTCACCAACCTTTTCCGCTTCCACTCCCACTGCTCCACTTCCTGCAGGCCATACTGTAGCCCTGCTTTCCTCCAGGATTTGGCATGCATTACGCTATTTTCACAGAAGATGCAGTAAAATTCTATGAATATTCTCTAATTCCCACTCTTATTTATTTATTCATCAGGACTTTGCCCAGTTATACTTCCTCCAGGAAACCTTCACCCAAGTGTGCACCCTCACATTTATGCCCACCTAGATCAGATAGCTTGCACACTAAGATAACGGCCTATTTACCCGTCTCTCATCCACGAGACTGAAAATTCCCCTGGGGGCAGAGACTTATTTTTATAGACTGGGCACTTAGCATTGTATCTCACACGGAGTAAGTATTTATAAATAGTTGTTGAATAAGCAAACACATGAATAAATGAGGTCAAATTAAGACATCTGACCCTGGCTGGTGTAGCTCACTGGATTAAGTGTGGGCCTGTGAACCAAAAAGTCGATGGTTGGATTCTCGGTTGGGGCACATGCCTGGGATGTAGGCTGGGTCCCCAGTGGAGGCATGAGGGAGGCAACCAGTTGATGTATTTCTCATGTATCAGTGTTTCTCTCCCTTTCTTTCTCTCTCCCTTCCCATTTCTCTAAAAATAAATAAATAAAGGTTTTATTTTTTTTAGAGAGATGGGACAGGAAGGAGAATGAGAGGGAGAGAAACATCAATATGTGGTTGCCTCTCACATACCCACTACTGTGGACCTGGCCCAAAACCCAGGCATGTGCCCTCACTGGGAATTGAACCGGTGACCCTTTGGTTTGCAGCCTATACTCAATCCACTGAGCTACACCAGCCAGGGCTAAAAAATCTTTAAAAAAATAAAACAAAAAGTTGCACTCTCCTGCTTAGTCCCTTGGTTTACAAATTCCTTGAAACATTCAACACATCTATATTCATTTAATCCTCACAACTACCTCATGAAATAGATATATTATTCTCATTTTTATAGCAGAGGTCAACTTATATCAAATAGCCAGGAAAGGAATGAATTAAAAGTCTGAATAATCATCTTCTACACTGTTATCAATCTCTAGCATATATGTGCTAACATTCTTGTAGCATTTTATAGTTTATAAATTTTTTCCAACTTTTTATTCTCATCCCGATAAAGTAGGTAAAACAAATTCTTCCATTTTTAAGAATGTTCCAAAAATTTAGTTAGAATATTCAAGGCTAGAGATTTAGCTACAAATATGAAATACAATGAAGAAATAGAGATGGGAAATTCAGAGATTTTTTTCTTTCATATGATTGGGAAACTAATGGCATTTAAGTTGCCAAAAGGTGGTTTCTTTATTTCACTTCATTAGTTTCACATGATATGAGAAATAAGGATTGATGTTTTAAAACAAAACAAAATAAACAAACCCCCCAAAACCACAAAGAGTACCAGTAAAATCTGGGTTACTGGCTGATTGTTCTGAGTCAGAGAGGTTTGATTTGTATAACATAAAGTATGAAATTAGTAAATAGATGTGAATAAGATAATTAGAAATACTTGTAATTTTACATTAGTAAAATAATTTAAAACATAACTTTTTCCAACCACAGAAAAAGTCCATTACAATTAAAAAATATGTGACAAATTTGTTGGAATCCTTTCAATGATAAAAAGTTCAGGAAAATGGTATAAAAGTCTGTGAGTTGATTGTGAAGCTCCCACAGGTTTTTTTTCTTTTCTTCAACTAACATAAAAATAATTTAAAAAATGCTTTTAAAATGGTCTATTATTAAAAGGGAAAAGGAAAAAGAAGTGGAGAAGAAAAGAGAATGAATGATCTTAGAAGAGATCTGAAATAGACAAAGATACAAAAGACCAGGAAATCTAGGATGACATAAGCCATCAGGAACATAATAAATATCTTTGGGTTATTTTATTTATTTATTTGTCTCACCCAAGGACAGTTTTTCATTGCTTTTAGAGAGAGTGGGAGGGAGAGAGGGAAACATTCATGAGAGAGAGAAGCATTGATTGGTTGCCTCCCATTCGCAGTCAGACTAGGGTATCTGTGCCCGGACCAGGAATTGAACCTGCAACCTTTTGGTTAGGGGACCACACTCTAACCAACTGAGCCACACTGGCCAGGGCTCTTGGGGTTATTTTTATAGATCTATTTTTATTTTTATTTTTCAAATACAGTTTACATTCAATATTATTTTATATTAGTTCCAGGTATACAGTATAGTGGTTAGACAATCATGTACTTTACAAAGCGGTCCCCCCAATATTTCAAGTACTCACCTGGCACCGTACATAGTTATTACAATATTATTGACTATATTTCCTATGTTGTACTTTATATCCTCATGACTATTACTATTTTGTGACTACCGATTTGTACTTCTTAATCCCTTCACCTTTTTCACCCAGCCCTCCAAGCCTTCTCTCCTCTGGCAATCATTAGTCTAAACCTATTTTTGAAAGAGTAAGTTGTAGAATTTAGAATTAGAATTTGTAATGTTTATTTATTTATTTAAAGATGTTTATTGATTTTAGAAAGAGAGGAAGGGGGTGAGAAAGAGAGAAACATCAATGTAAGAAACGTTGATTGGTTGCCCCTCATATGCTCCCCGACTGGGGACCAAACCCCGCGACCTGGGCATGTGCCCTGACTAGTACTCGGACCCCCGACCTTTTGGTGTGCGGAACGATGCTCCCACTAACCAAGCCACCTGGCCAGGGCAAATTCGTAACATTTAAAACTTTTAGGAAAATAAAGCATGTTTTTATTATCTCAAAAACAGGGATACCAATTTTTAAGGCAAGTAACAAAACCAATAGGTGAAATAATTATGATGATTATAAATACTTACTAGTAATATTATTTTGCAATAAACAAGGAATGCATTTATGAAATAGATACTGGAAAAGATCCAAGGATATGCATTTACTGTGTAGCCACAAAGATCACTGGCTGTTAAAGCATCTTCAAGAGAGCCCTTAGTCTGTGTAACAGACCTGTCTATACCTGCCTCAGTCACCAGGCAGAGTTCTGGCTTTGAGAGCACTCACAACCAATGGTACAGGAGCACCCATGTCTGTGCACTCCATTGCCGGAGTGAAGACTTCATTCCGAGCTCAGCAGGGGCAGACTTCTCAGGTGGCATGGCTTGCCTGGCAGGCATTAGCCCCACAGCCTCATCTTAGGGGAAACATTCAATCTTTCAGTATTAACTATAATCTTATCTATAGTTTTGTGTAGATGTCTTTTATCAGGTTGAGGAGGTTCCCTTCTATTCTTTGTTGAGGGTTTTTATCATAAATGGGTGGTAGATTTTGTTAAATGTTTTTTTGTGACTATTGAGATAATCATGTGAGTATTTTCAATTTTTTTTATTTTAAAGATTTTATTTATTTGTTTTTAGACAGAGGGGAAGGGTAGGAGAAAGAGAGGGTGAGAAACACCAATGTGTGGTTGTCTCTCACATACCCCCTACTGCAGACCTGACCCGCAACCCAGGCTTGTGCCCTGATTGTCAATCAAACCAGTGACTCTCTGGTTTGCAGGCTGATGCTCAAGCCACTGAGCCACACCAGCCAGGCCTAATCGTGTGTTTTTATCTTTCATTCTATTAATATGGCATATTCCATTAATTGATTTCCAGATGTTAAACTGGCTTTGCATCCCTGGGATAAACTTCACTCATGGTGTAAAATTTCTTTTATATGTTGCTGAATTCAATTTGCTAATATTGTGATGAACATTTTTTCACCTATATTCATGAAGGATTATTGGTCTTGTGGGGTTTTTTTTTGTCTAGGTTTGGCATTAGAGTTATACTGGCTTCATAGAATAAGTTGAAAGTATTCCCTCCTCTTTCAGTTTCTGGAAGACTTTGTAAAGAATCATTATTTCTTTAAATGTTTGATAAACTCATTAAAGAAGCCAGCTGGGCCTGGTTTTACTGTATTGGAAGAGTTTCAATTACTAATTTCATCCCATTACTTGTTATAGGTCTCAGATTTTCTATTGCGTTGGCCAAAAGTCCATATGATTTTTTTCCATAAAAGACACATTTTTCATTTTCACCAATAACTTTATAGATTTGGATATTTTAAGTATGTTGGCTATCTCCTGCTATTGGCTTCTAGTGAGTAGAGGCCAGGGGTGATGCTAAATATCTTCTAATGAATAAGATAGCCCCACAACAAGGAATTATTTGCCCAAATGTGAATAGTAACAAGAAACTTCAGAAACCACTTTTAACATGTTTGATTAGCCACAGCATCTTCTCCATACACCTCACAACTGTTTTTTTTGCATTTAGTTGCACTTTTACCTTTCTTGAAATAATAAGTCATAGTATGACAAAAATGTTGTGTATCTTCTTCCTTTTTCAATATTAAAATGGCTGCACAAAAATTCACTAATTTTGATAATTTTTTAAAAATGCATGCTAATGTGACAGCTGTCACAATACAATCTAACAAAATTGTTTGGAATGAAGTTAAAGACAACTAAGCACTACTAGATCCACCATATGGAAAAAACATAATGGATTTTTTTGGCAACCCATTATTTCTTCTTGAGTCACTTGAGTCATTCAGGATGTAGCACATGATCTTTGTGGCTCAGCCTGTACCACACTGATTAATCCAGGGCTCCCCTCTGGTCTGAACACTCATCTCTTTTCAGTATACCATATGTGTAAACCCTAACTC